TGGCTTAGGCCTGGCCCTTTTACCCCGACAGTACCCAGAGGGGATTCGGAAATATGACTACAACCCCAGCTTTGCCATCCGTGGCCTCCACTATGACATTCCAAAGGTGAGTGGCAGGACCTGTATAGGGGCTCCCTCCTTGGCCTCTTCTTGGTATGATCATTCCCCTCAGCACCATCCAGCTGGGGTTCTGACATGGGCTGAAAGAGGCTGGCTTGGGGTATGGTGAAACTGAATCCCTGGCGTCCCCAGAGCCTCCTGATGAAGATTGACGCCTACCACTACGTGCAGCTGGGGACAGCCTACAGGTCAGTTGGCTCTGCCCTGTCTCCAGCTCTGCCCCACCCTATGCTGCTGCCTGGGCTCAGGACTGCCTTGGACTGATGGTGTCTGTGGGTCTGCTCAGGGGCCTCCAGCCTGTGCCAGATGAGGAGGTGATCGAGCTATATGGGGGCACCCAGCACATCCCATTGTACCAGACGAGCGGCTTCTACGGCAAGGTACTCCATACCCCAGCAGCAGCCAGCCTGCCCCATGGGCCATGCCCATGTCCCAGGGCAGATTTGGGGCCTTCATATCCAGCACTGAAGGGGGTGGGGCCCCAAAGGGTGACTAAGACCATGTCCTCCGCCCTCCCACCGCCCCCCCCACCCCGCCCCGCAGGGTCCCTCCATTAAGCAGTTCATGGACATCTTCTCGCTGCCAGAGATGGCTCTGCTGTCCTGTGTGGTGGACTACTTTCTGGGCCACGGCCTGGAGTTTGACCAAGCGCACCTCTACAAGGACGTGACGGTGAGGATGCCAGGCCTGCCCTCAGATGTCCGGGACGGCTAAGTCCAGCCACAGCGGGACAGGTCTGCCTGGGCCTTACTGCACCTTACCTATTCTCCACTGCCCCCAGGACGCCATCCGAGACGTGCATGTGAAGGGCCTCATGTACCAGTGGATCGAGCAGGACATGGGTAAGGGTGGGCAGAAGCCCTGCCGTGGCCGGCCTGAGCAGGTGGCAGGGCTGGCCCTCACAGTCCCGTCTGCCCCATTAGAAAAATACATCCTGAGAGGGGATGAGACGTTTGCTGTCCTGAGCCGCCTGGTGGCCCATGGGAAACAGCTGTTCCTCATCACCAACAGTCCTTTCAGCTTCGTGTGAGTCCAGCCCACTGTGGATGGAGGGACAGCAGGGCCGGGGCCCTGGGTGGGGAGGGTAGGCACAGAGCCACCCTCAGACCACTTGCCACCTGAACCTCCTCTGCACAGAGACAAGGGGATGCGGCACATGGTGGGTCCCGATTGGCGCCAGCTCTTCGATGTGGTCATCGTCCAGGCGGACAAGCCCAGCTTCTTCACTGACCGGCGCAAGTATGGGCCTGGGGGGTGTCGCAGGGCCAGGCAGGGGAATAAAGCAGGAGGCCAATGTGGCCCTTGCCCACTGCCCAGTATGCTTGGGGTGAGGACACCCCCTTGCTGGCATGGGTCCACTTGAGCAGGTAGGCCTTTACAGAGGAGGGATAAGGGTTACACGGCCTGTGGCCCTGCCACAGATTGGAAGTCAGGCCCTTTACCTGCACCCCAGGCCTTTCAGAAAACTCGACGAGAAGGGCTCGCTTCAGTGGGACCGGATCACCCGCCTGGAAAAGGGCAAGATCTATCGGCAGGTGAGAGCCATCTGGGGAGAGCAGCATGTGGTAGGGCACAGGGCTTAACCAGGCCCCCAGGTTGTGCAGAGGCAGCCTCTGAGGAAGCAGCACAGCTCCTCAGCCCTAAGCAGCCTCATACCGTGGGGTTGGAGCCAGGGCCTCCCAGGGAATGGTCGGCAGGGAGCAGGTCTGGGTGGCAACAAGAGCTCAACCTCTGGGTCAAGCTGCCTGATTCTGAATTCCAACTCCACTACTCAGCACAGGGAGCCTGGGCTGGTTGCCTGACCTCTGTGCCTTGCTTCCCTTGTCTGCAAATGAGGTGTAATATTCTGCTGAAGCTGTGGTATAAAGCCCTCTGGATGGCCAGTGGGCCAGGCACAGAGGCTCAGCCTTTAATCCCAGCAGTTTGGGAGGCTCAGGCGGCAGGATTAGTTTCTTGAGCTCAGGAGTTTGAGACTAGCCTGGCTAACATAGCGAAACTCCATCTCTACTAAAAATATAAAAAGTTAGTGGGGCATGGTAGCATGCACTTGTGGCCCCAGCTATTCCAGAGGCTGAGGTGGGAGGATCACTTGAGCCCAGGAGTTCAAGGCTGCAGTGAGCTTTGAGCACACCGCTGCACTCGCTTGGGCAACAATGCAAGACCTTGTCTTCAAAAGACAAGAATGGTCAGAGATCGTAAAATGCCTGATGAATGGTGTCATTCGTTGGGGCTGAGCACTCTCTGCTGTAGCCAGAAGCAGTGTGGTTGGGGGCAGTTCACTGGGTGCTCTAGGGAAACTCCTCCTTCTTACCTGGCTAGGAAAATAAGAGGGACTGGTGCTGGGGGGATTGGGTGTCGATGAGCAGGCAGTGATGAAGGTTTAGCCCTGGCTGAAATGCGGAAATCCTGGCTGAGCTGGGCTGCTTCAGGCTAGGGGTTCTAAAGGCCTTGGGGCTGAGGGAGGGGGAAGCCAGCAGCTAGCCAGGGGAGCAGTGTGGGGTGGCCAATACCCAGGCCTGGCTTGGAGGAAACGCTCCCACCCTCTCAGCCCTGCCCGCTGCTCCACCTCCCACTCTGCTGCACCCAAACTCTCCACAGCCCTCAGGCTCAGGTGTGTCCCCTCAGCTCTGAGGGCACTGCTCTCCCCGGCCTTGGCATCTGGCCCCAGGTGAAGAGAGTCATGCACCTTTGTGGGAAATGCATGACTTTCTTCCCTGGCAGCTTTCAGGCGGTTCTTTATGCCCAATATTCTGAAGCTGCCTTACTCTGTGTGTTGGATTTTGCCTGTCACTAAGAGTCTCTCAGACTCCTGCCCCTTGAGATTCTTTTTCTCGATCCAGGGCCTGCCTGGGCCTCTGCCACTCCACTTGAACTTATTTTAGCAATTCGCTTCTCGCACACCACCTGTTTCCCCCAGCACTTCCACTTCTAAGGCTTTGGATGCAGACTGCTCTGAACTGTTGTTCCTGGGTATAAATTCCTCTCGCTTTTGGGGTGTGGACTCCTGCTCTGGTGGCTGCAGCCTGAGCACTGGTCTGGTGATTCCTGCTCTCTGCTCTGGGCCCCTCAGTTTCTGCTGCCCTGTGAGCTTCCCCAGTTACGTGTGGGCCTGGCTGAGTGGCTCCAGATTTCTACAGCTCCAAGACATTGGTGGCCCTGGTGAGATCTGCCATTGTTCTGCTGGGTCCCTCTGTGCTGAGGCAGGGGAAACCAGCAAGGAGTTCAGGGCTGTGAAGTCTTCCCTACAGTTATTTTCTTATAAACAGGGTCTCAGTCCCTAGCCTGGCATATGTATGAGACCACAGGGAGGACCCCTGGAGGCATGGGTACCACATCAGCCTACAGGGTACCTTCCTGTGGCAGGCAGATTCCCCTTCCCAAGTAGGAGGGGAAAGGGCCCAGGGAGGGAGCAGCAAGGCCACGGGAAAGGGCAGCCAGCATCCAGCTGGATCTGGGATTCGGGAGGGAGAACTGGGGGAGGACAAGGCACTTGGCTCAGCAGCGTTCCCCTCTCTCCCCAGGGAAACCTGTTTGACTTCCTACGCTTGACGGAATGGCGTGGCCCCCGCGTGCTCTACTTCGGGGACCACCTCTATAGTGACCTGGCGGTGAGGGAAGCAGGGCTGGGCTACAGGTGGGGAGGACCGGGAACACCCCCCACCAACTGGTGCTCAGCCCAGTTCCACTGCCCCACCCACCAGGATCTCATGCTGCGGCATGGCTGGCGCACGGGCGCCATCATCCCCGAGCTGGAGCGTGAGATCCGCATCATCAACACGGAGCAGTACATGCACTCACTGACGTGGCAGCAGGCGCTCACAGGGCTGCTGGAGCGCATGCAGGTGCAGGCCGGGGTGGCTGTGGGAGGGCCAGGCCTGTAGCCTCCTGGGTGCACACGCCCAACGCACACCCGGTGTCCCCAGACCTATCAGGACGCGGAGTCAAGGCAGGTGCTAGCTGCCTGGATGAAAGAGCGGCAGGAGCTGAGGTGAGCATGTGGGGCGAGGGCAGGCGTCCCAGCCAAGCCACCACCCCGGGCCCACCCTTCGAGCGCACCCTGTCTCCTTCATCAGGTGCATCACCAAGGCCCTGTTCAACGCACAGTTCGGCAGCATCTTCCGCACTTTCCACAACCCCACCTACTTCTCCAGGCGCCTCGTGCGCTTCTCTGACCTCTACATGGCCTCCCTCAGCTGCCTGCTCAACTACCGCGTGGACTTCACCTTCTACCCACGCCGCACGCCCCTGCAGCATGAGGCCCCGCTCTGGATGGACCAGCTCTGCACGGGCTGCATGAAGACCCCCTTCCTCGGCGACATGGCTCACATCCGCTGAGGGCACCTTTATTGTCCCGGACAGGCTCCCCCCTACCCTTCCTGCCCCATCTACCCAGGGCATCCACCCAGACAAGCAATAGAAATGGTTTCCTCCCTGCATGTGCCTCTGCTTTCGGCCCCAGCCTCGTCACTTGACTGTGAGGATCCTCTGGGTGTCAGGGAAATCTTCCTCTAAGAGTGAGTCCTAGGAGAGCAGGGCTGTTGGTGATGGGCGTGACTAGGGCCTGGACCCATCCCACATCCGCCACACTTCCATGCTCACATCAAAGGGTTCACAAAAGGCGTCATGGCTGCCAAAGATAGGGTTGGGGACAGAGACCAGGGTGGGGTTGGTCCCTTCTTGCCATGGTGAGAAGTCATCATCAGCATCATCTTCCGCCTGTGAGCAGCAGAGGGGTGAGTGGTGAGGCTCCTTGCGTGAGATCCAAGTACCTGCCATGGCAGCCCCAACCCAGCCCTACCTGGAAGGCAGAGAAGCCAAAGCCAGTGGGCTTGCCTCGGGTACGGAGGTAGAGGGCTCCGGCCACCAGGCCGAGCAAGGCTCCAGCGGCAAGCACAGCCCCCACACCTGCTGCCACAGGTGGGGCCTCAGGTGCCAGCACCGCCCACTACAAACAGGGAATGTGTTGAGGTCCTGGTGGGAGCTGTCCCACCCCGTTCCCCAGATTCACAGGTTGTGGTTGGGGGGGTGCAGGAAAGGCTCTGCCTCCCCCTTCCCCAACTCACGGGCTGTGGAGGTGCCAGGAGAGGGCTGGCCAGAGCATGGATGATGCCGTTGAAGGCCATGATGTCCCACATGATGACATGGCTAACCACAACTGTCCCTGGGGCCTGCAGGGAGACCAGCGTCAGGCCCCACAGTGAGGGCCAGTGCCAGCAGGGTGGGACAGTGGCCACACTCACCACAGGGGCCCAGGAACTGTTGTCAGGGCCCACGTCACTGATGATGAGGCTGAGGCCTGAGTGGGCCAGAAGCAACTTCCCCTGGCTGGCGTTGGCACTTAGGAAGGTGGTGTTGGAGGCATGCAGCTCCAGGTCTGGGCCACTCAGCGTCTGCGGGCAGAGCAAGGCCTGTTGGCCTGGACCAGCTGGAGACAGCTGACTCGGACTCTGGTCTCCCCACATCCCTGCTGGTTACCATGTTGTCCACAAAGCCTTCGTTGACAGGGACGAATAGCGTCTTATAGGTGAGCTCGTCCTGCAGGAAGTCCAGGAAGTCGAGACCACGCTGGGTGGCATTGGCATAGCCCAGCAGCATCTGGCTTGGAGGAGAGGCAGAGCTGTGAGCAGGCTCCCTCCTCGGGGACACTTGCTGCTCTGCACCCCCCCATCCCCAAGGCTGGGCCCCACACACCCCATAGAAAGTGGAGAAGTTGGCAGTGGCAGCCAGCACATCCAGCAGCTTCCCGTTGCACATGCTGATCCCATCCCCCACGAAGCCGTCTCGGCATTGGCAGGCCACATCTGCAGGAAAGGCAGGTCAGTGGCTCAGTGGATTGGTGGGAAGGGGCAGAGCTGGGGAAGTAGGGTTTGGTCAGGTGGACGCACCTTGCACGCGGAAGCAGTAGGCGTCCCAGCGCTCCGAGAGGTTCTTTCGAGCACCCAGGCTGACTATGCCCACCCGACCACTGCCACAGTCCGCCGTAGGGAAAACCACAGGGTGGGCAGCAGAGCCATTGGCCAGCCAGCCCATGAGGCACAGGTGGAAGCCCAGCTGTAGGAACAAGAGGGGATGCTGAGACCCCAAGACCCAGTTAAGGCCTCCCCCAAAGGCTTGGCCCCAACTTCTGGGCCCCACACACCTGCTGGGCAGCAGAGAGCTGAGGGAATGAAGCAAGGACAGCTCCCTGGGCTTCACATGCCGCCTCAGCCTCGGAAAAGTTCAGACCATAAGGGCCACTGGTGGCCTGGAGGTGGAAGACGCCAGCCCGTTTCTCTGCAGAAGGGAGGTGTGCACGGTCAGCGGGCTGGCTCTGAGGGATGAAACGGGTATTGGGAATGGGCAGGGGACACACCCTGGAAGTGCAGGTCAGTGCACACGGCATCTGAGTGGCAGGGTGGTGGCTGGCCCAGGCAGCGGTCCACAGGTGGTTCCGACTCCTCTAGACACTGCAGTCCATCACCCACGTAGCCTGCATGGCACTCACAGCGCCGTGTGTTCTGGGTTGGGGAGAGCAGTGGGTGCCCTTCAGAGGCCGAAAGGCCTGCTGGGCCTCCCCACCCTGGCTGCTCAGCTCCCCCACCTGCTCACCAGGCCGGTGCTCAGGCAGTCGGCATGCTCGCTGCAGCCCCCACGGTGGCCATCTGTGCAGGGGTTGCGGGCGCGGCAGCTCCAGCCATCACCCTCGTAGTTGGGCAGGCAGGTACAAATGACCACTGTTCCCACCTGGCTGCAGTTGGCATGCTCACTGCAACCACCATGCCCATCCTGGCACAGGTCTGCCACTGAGGGCAGGGAAGGAGTGGTTGGACCCGGTGGCTGCAGGGGAGTGGGGGCCTCCCACCTCCATGTCCCTGCCCACCTGCCTACCTGTACACATGCGGCCGTCCCCTTCGTAGCCCAGGCTGCACTCGCAGCTGTTCCCTGCACGGCACACGGCCTCAGGTGCACAGGGTGGGGTGCACACAGGCTGCAGCTCTGCCCCCCAGGGCCCAGCCCCCAGAATCAGATTAGTAGTTGCCTTCTTGGCCTCCGCCTGTTCCACCCACCCTTAGTGTTTTTACTGATGTGTGCACATGTACATAAGTGTGCAGCGTGGGCTACTCACCCAGTTGCACCTCACAGCGTGGCCCAGTCCAGCCCTCATCACAGAAGCAGGAGCCAGAGCCCCCAAGGCCCTCATCACAGCGGCCATGCACAGTGCAGAGGCAGGCTGGGGAAAGGGTCGGCGGGAAGATAAAGATTAGCCCACAGGGGCCAAAGTAACGGGGTGTGGGGTGGGGCGGGGGATGGCCCACCTTGACAATGGGGCCCAAAGGCACCGGGAGCACAGAGTTCACAGGCTGTCCCCACGAAACCTGAACGGCACAGACACTGGCCACTGCCACTCATGCCATCCATGCACACGCCATGGTCACTACAAGGGCTGTTGGGGCCGCCAGGGCAAGCTGGAGGATAGGGTGGGAGAAGTGAGGCGGGGCCAGGGGCTCTCACCAGGACCCCTGCACATGTACCTCCAGCCTAGCCCTGCCATCTGTCCCTGACCCACATGCCCACACTGCTAAGATCCCTCCAGGCCTGTGTCCTGGAGAACATCAAGATCCCCCAGCACTGCTCCCCAGGTTCTGCACCGTCCACTCTCCGGCCCTGCCCTCTCCCAGCACTCCCACTAGTAAAATCTAACCACCCAGAACTCCGCAGCCCCACATACCCCAGCACTCTCTCAGGGACAATGGCCAGAGCTGTACCTTGGCTCTCTTGGGGGAATAGAGGTGCAGGTCAACAGTGTCTCAGGGCTCACCTTGGCACTCACTGCCATAGTGACCAGGGCAGCAGCTGGGTTTCCAGGTGGTGGTGACACAATTGCGGTGGCAGCCCCTGCCCAGGGTTTGGGGCCGACCCCAAAGATTGGGCTGGACCCAGACGTTGCGTAGTCCCAAAGAGTGCAGCGAAGGGTATGTCCAAAACTTCGAGGATAAGCGCCAGCAGGCCTCAGGTCTGCCCTGGGCCGAAGGATTGAGGCCGCAGTTTGGTGGTTCTGAGTTTGGTGGTCCTTGGGTTCTGCCCACCCCCAATCCATCCCCCACCCCATTCCCTCAGCCCCCATCTCTCTACCTGCTCCTGTGACCCCTGAGGACAGGGTGGCTCCAGCCCGCAGATGCTGCAAATGTTCTGGAAGGGAGGGAGGCCAAGACAGCAAAGTCAGGTGGATGGACACCACAGACAGGGTGGCCTCCCGCCCGTCTGCCTCTGGCCTCCCTCACCAGTCGCAGGGCCCGGGTCTCAAAGCGGTCACAGCGAGCACCAAGGCCAGGTGGCTCCAGCAGCTGGTCAATGCCGTAGGCCAGGCCACCCTCAAAGGGCAAGTGACGCTGTACAATGTGGGCATCATCCTCACCCACCATGAGTTCACCCTGCAAGGGGAGAATGTGAGGTACTCGAGGGCCACAGGTACACTCCAGCCCCCACTGCCAGGGCCCCTGCCTCCTACTCCCCTCATCCAAGCCCTTTCCACAGACTCACGGGCCGCATTCGGCTGCAGGAGAAAGAGATGGGGGTCCCATGCATAGTTCGAAGTGGGCCCAGATTGGGCAGGTCAGATGCCAAGGCCTAGCAGGTGGAGTCATGGTTGGAGACGGAGAGGCAGGCTGAGCTGCAGACAGCGAGGCCAAGGCTGGGGGCTGCACCCACCTCGACATTGCGGATTATGTGTCCCCGCAGAATGGCTGCTAGCTTGTCACGGTGGTCCTCATGGTACAGCCAGGCCTGGCGTTCCAGAGGCAGGGCTTGCAAGGCGGTGTCTGTGGGCCACAGCATTGTGAAGGGCCTATGGGATGGGTCTCGAAGCAGGGGCAGGAGACCAGCCATCTGGTGGGATGCAGCAAAGATGCGGCAGTTGCAGCCCAGTCAGAGACTAGTGAGCCAAGTCGGGGGGCTGTGGCACAGAGTGGAAGGGGCTCCAGAGGCACCCACACTCATCTGTGGCCATCCCAGGCAGGCACGAGCATGCACACATCTCAGCCGTGCACACTGCTATCGGGAATGCAGCACACACTTAGCACACCCCTGTGCTCACCCTGTGGGGCTCATGCACACAGATGTGGCCTGTACACACGTGAGTTCATACATACAGGCTCACACAGGACAGTCTGCACACAGGTGGTGTGACCCAACCTCAGTGGCAGTCCCTGGCCAGGCTTTGGAGCATAGGTACGCACATATACTCGCACAAGTGTCTGCCCAGGCTTTGGGGCATAGGTACGCATACACACGTGCACAAGTGTACATGTGCAAATATGCTCACAATGACAGGCCCACCAGTACCTTCAGGAGGCTACTGACGATCTTGTAACCAAAGCTCTGGGCAGCGGCGGTGACGTTTCTCTGGGGAAAGGCACTGATAAACAGCTAGGCCAGGCGGGAAGGGAGGATCCTAGGCCCCCAGCTGCCTGCCTTCCAGCTCCTAGGCCTGTGCCTGTCATACCCTCAGGACCGGGGCATCACCCGGCTCCCAGTGCAGCGCCTCGGGGGGCAGCAGGACACGGTCGATGAAGTGCAGGATGCCGTTCACAGCCTCATGGTCGCTGCTCACCACACGCGCGAAGTCGTTGAGGTATATGCTGCCCTGGGGGCGGGGCACGGGGCTGATGAAGCCGATGGGTGGGGTGCTCGGAAGCTGCCGGGGCCTGAGATGGGGCGGGGCCTGAGATGGGGCGGAGCCTGGGTTGGGCGAGTCTTAGGGTGCAGGCAGTCCCGGGTTCGAGACCAGGACTGGAGGTGGGCGGGATCCAGGGCAGAGTCAGGGCAGGGGGCGGGGCTCTGTTCTCAGAAGCACCCGAGGGCTCTGGGCTAGACAGGCCCACCGTAGTGGGTGAGGCACAGATCGTGGGTGGGGTCCCGGCCTGGACTCAGCTCCCTCTCTTGGAGACGCCCCCTGGCTGGGGGAGGTGAGGGTCCGGATCGCGTCGGTGAGGGCCAGGCACAGGCGTGCAGTGGGGGGCGGGCGGGGCGGGCCAGGCCAGGACTGGGGCTCACCTCCCTCTCGCTGAAGCGCAGTGTGTGCCCCGAGAGCGCCGTGGCGTACCCCTGCTCCAGCAGATCCTCGCTCCGCAGTCGCCGGCAGCCAATCACGTGGTAGCGAAACACCAGCTGGCGATGCGCGCGAATCCGGGCCAGCTCATCCTGGAGCAGAGTCGCGAGGGGAGTGGGGTCCTTGACTGCTCCCCCAGCCTATGCAGGGCTGCCACCGGAGCGCCCAGCCCTGCCCAGCCTGGCTCTGGGGGCTGTGTACCTGCGACAGGTTGCTCATTAGAGAAGCGTGCGGCACGAAGATGGTGAAAGGCCCATCGCCCTTGAGCTCCTTGTATTCCTGCGGGGGTGGGGGGGTAACGGCATGAATGGAAGGGGAGCAGCCTGCAGCCTCCATGGATCTCCTGGGGAGGACTTGAACTCAGAGAGAGCAAACCAGCCAACCCCCTGACAAGATGGGGACAGAAGCCCAAAGAGGGGTGGGACTTGTATGTCACAGAGGCCCAGGCTGGCCACTCACCAGGAGATGGAGGCTGAAGAATGAGGCATGCTTATCCTTCTGGAGCTCCTGAGGGGGCGAGGGTCAGCTCAGATTTGGGGCGGCCCCCATTCAGGGCCTGGTGCCTGTCCCAGCACCTGCGCCCCAAGGTCTAGCCAAGGCAGACATGAGGGAAGGAAAGCCGGGGGGGTCTGAGTTGGGGTCAGGGCTAGTTTCATGGGTCATAGCTGGGGTCAGGCCCATGTACAGTCAGGGGTCAGGCTAAGGGTCATGGTCATGGCCAGGATCAGGATCAGGTCTTCGCCAAAACCATGGGTCAGGCCCATGGGGCACAGCCAAGACCAGATCAGGGGTCTGACTTGGGCATCATTACCAGGCCGACTCGGGTGCGGCAGGTGAGGCCGTCCCCCACGGTGTGAGCTGTGTCACAGGTACAGGTCCTCTGGCCATCCCCTGTGCTTTTGCACATGGCATAAGGGCTGCAACCTCCATTGTTCTGAGGCAGGGACAGGAGAGGAAGGTATCAGTGGCTTCTGGGACTTCTCTATTCCACCCAGCCCTATGAAAGAGGCATGAAGGCCCCTTCTCAGCCCCTCACATCCTCTTTCCCACTGATCAAACTCGAGCTGGAGGGGAGGATGGCCCACCCTGCAGAAGCTCTTAGGACCCTGCTGGAAGTGAGGAGGGCTGGTTCCTGCCTCAGTCCCCTCTCCCTGTGAAGGAGGGCAGGATTAGGGGCCCAACCTTAGAGCAGGGGTCCAGGAGGTCACAGGTCCGGATGCCATCCCCACTGTAGCCCTCGAGGCAGCTGCAGGAGACCTGTCCCCAGTTTCGATCAGTGGAGCTGCTGGGAGCCAACAGCTGTCCAGCACCCTGGGTAAAAGGGTCACCCCTCCCCAGGCCTGCCCTGAAGGGAGGCCCTACCCTGTGAGGGCACGGCCTGGCCCTCATGTCCACCCCTGCCATGCTGACCTGCTGGGGGCCTGTGGGGATGCACTCGGCGTGAATGTGGCAGCCCCCATGGTGGATGAGACAGCTGTTAATTTCTGAGGGAAGAGACACTGGGATGGGGGTGGCCCTTAGCAGCATCCCCCCCTTCATCTGTCCTCTGTACCTTCAGATCCCACCCCTCCTCTCTCAGCACCCCCAGTCCCCCCATGTTCCCATGCCCCTCAGCCTTTCCTAGTCTGACTGGGATCACTGAAGCCAGACCCCTAGCCCCACATACAACCCAGGTTGGGGGCCCAGTCTCACCCTGGCACAGCTCCCCATCGCCCGTGTAGCCATCCTGGCAGGTGCATGTCCGCTGCCCAGGTGCCACCTTGGTACAGTTGGCATGGGGGGAGCAGCCCCCGTGGCCATGGGCACAGGGGTCCACCTCTAGAGGAGATGGTCCCAGAGAGTCGTAAGGAGCAGGCACAGGCCGGGGGGGACAGGAGAGGAGGGCATGAGAGAAAGGAAAAAGTCAGAGGGAAGGGTGAGGCCCGAGATGGGACAGCGAGAACAGCTGGGCCTAGAGGGAGTGAAGGGGCTCTGTGGGGACAGCCACCCCAAAACTTCAGGGAGGGCTCCGGGTATCCATGTGGCTGGACCTGAGCAGAAGGTGCCACTGCCAGAGTATCCTGCGGCGCAGACACAGGTGGGGGCTCCGGCCGAGTCCTGAACGCAGCTGGGAGGAGTGGCAGCGGCTTAGCCCATGCCTGTCCAGCCGTGCCTTGACCCCCAGGGCCCCCGCCACTCACCCACCTGTCCCAGACTGGGCCCACTCACTTGGCATTGGGGTCACACTTCCTAGGGCACTGAGGGCTGGCGATTTCTGGGGGGCAAGAGGATGACTCTGGTCATTCAGACTCAGGAACTGCCTCCTCAGTAGCCACCTGCCCTCTCCCCCTGGGGACCCACTCACTCTGGTCACAGCGGAGGCCCTGCCAGCCCACGTTACAGACACAGCTTCCGTCCCCTTGCAGCCCCTCCTGGCACAGCCCATGGGCACAGTCACACACTGCAATGGGACGAAGGAGGACAGGAGTTACCCAGTGCCTCTATCCTGTCCTGGCTGGGGTCTCCAGGCTGCTCTCTGCTGCCAGGAACCCACCCCTGCCCTCCTGTCCTCACCTCCGGTGCAGTTGGGTCCATAGCGGCCCAGCTCACACATCTCACAGGCTGTTCCGTGGAAGCCCTCATGGCAGCGGCACTCCCCGCTGCCCAGGAACCTGTCCTGGCACTGCCCGTGGCCTGAGCACACACCCCCCAGGCCCCCTGGGCATGGCTCACACAGCGTGCCAAAGAAGCCAGGACAGCAGTCTGGCACCTGTTGGAGCGGGTGTGGGAGAGAGGGCGAGAGAGGCCGAGTACGGATGTCAGGGGGAAGGGGAACGGAGGCATCTCAGGGCCACAGAGCCATGGAGCAAAGCCCCTTGGAACCCCAGACCCAGAGATGAGCAGGTCAGAGCCAAGAGAGACACAGAGATGTCTCCTAAAACCCTCCCTCTGGCAAGGTGGGGAAACTGAGGCTCAAGTAGGGAGGGGCTGCACCGAGATCCCACAGTGAGGGGCCAGGCAGGCCCAGTTGCTGCCCCTGGGCTTTGGCTGATAGAGCCAGCTCCGGACTGCCCTTTCTTCCTCTCCCTGTCTCCGCTCCCCCCGTTCCCTGGGGGAGCAGATACAGGGACAAACACTCGTCCTCTGACTTCAAACCCCTCTCCCCTCTCCTTCATCTGGGTTCTGGCCTCAACCTAGTCCCAGCCCAGCCTCTGCCCTTAAGATCCCAACTGGGCTCCTCCCTGGTCCTCCCCAACTCCCACCTCCCTCTCTCTGGACAGGCTTGGGGTGGGGGCTTCAGGGCAAACCTGGATCTTCTTGGCACATGTGTAAGAGCAGCCCCGGGCAAAGGAGAAGCCAGATCGGTAGACACAGCTTTTCCTGGGCGTGTCCTGGAAATGGTGACAGGCAGGAGTCAGCCAGTGGCTTGGGCAGGGGCAGGGCAGTGAACAGCGAGACAGACACATGGACTACAGGTATCAGGCAGATGAGCAGGACAGCAGAAGGGTCAGGGAGGGACCAAGACAGACTGACCGATGGGAGAGGGCAGACAGAATCCAAGCCTCAGGCTGCAAGTCTGAGGGAGTCTTCTAAGAAGAGCAGACCAGCCCTCCAGGCCTCTATGGGGATGTCTGCCACCCAGTTCCCTGTGCCTGGATGCCTGGGCCAAGCAGAGCTGGGCTGGAAGGTAAGGGGATCAGGCACCCTGGCAGAAGTGAGGGCAGGCAGCACAGGGGCAGAGCTGCGCTAAGCCAGTCTCACCTGCAGCTGGTAGCCCTGAGTGCAGCGGAATTTCCTGGTGCAGTTTACGCATTTCTCCTAGGCAAAAACGGGTGGGGCATCAGGCAATCCAGGGCTGGACCCCTGCCGTTCCTCCAGGACACCCCGACCATGTGCTCCTCCAGTCAGGCCAGCCAGCAGCTCCCAGGCCTGAACCCCCCTGCCAGCCCTCCCGTGGCCCCAGCCCCTCACCCGCAGGGCCTCAGCGTGACTATGCAGGCAGCGGCTTGAGCCCACTGTCAGGACCCCCGACAGGCCAATCAGCGAGCGGCCGGGGGCCTCCAGCATGGGGCCTTCCAGCGGTACATGGTTTACCTCAGGCTGGGGAGAGAGATGGAAGCTGAATCCACCCTCCCACCACCCTCACCAGGCGGGGCTGTAAGGTCAGGCGGTACTCCAGGGCCAGGTGGCTCCCCGGAGCAGAGATTAGAGGCTCCCAGCTGAGGAAACTCCAAAGGGAAGGAAGAGATCTTCAGGAGTAGGAGCCCAGGCTAGGGTCTCCCTGCTCCCTGCCCCCCAAACCTGGCCGCTGTGGTTGTAGAAGACAATCCAATGGGCAGGGCCCAGGAGGGAGTTGCGGTGTCCACCCTTCCCCAGGGCTTCCATGGAGAGGGCCTCCCCCAGGATCACATGGTGCCGCACTGTGTCTGCGTCCTGGGAGGGAAAGAGAAAGCTCAGGGGACCCCAGGATAACTAAGTACCCTGGACAGACTGCCACACCCACTGCGTCCCTTCGTGGTGGGATGGGAGGCTTGCCCTCTGTGCCTTTGCCCCCCTGCCATTGCCACATCTCCATGGCCTCACCAGGCGGCTGCTGTTGCCCTGGGCCTCCAGGGAGTGGTTGGTGGGCACGAAGATGGTGTAGGCAGTGGCAGCCTCAATCTGAGGAACCAACCTATGGTGCTAGGGATGGGGTGGAGGTCAGAAATGGGCATATTAGTTGTCAGTCTTGACCCTGGGAGCCTGCCAGCTCCCTCTGGACCTGGGGCACAGTGCCCTGTGAGCAGGCATGTCCCCTCTTGCCAGCCTTCCTTACCTGCAGCAAGTCCCGGAAGAGGCTGAAGGCAGGCACCAAGTCCAACTGCTGCAGCAACCCCTGCACACCAGGCACATCCGCTCGAGGGGGCAGCAAGACCTGGTACAGAGCACAGGGGCCTGGTCAGCATGTCACTGCTTCATGGCCTGCCTGCAAGGTTCCCTGAGCACACCCTCCTCCAGCCATACCTGGCTGATGATGTGTAGGACACCGTTGGTGGCAAGGAGGTCAGCCACGTCCACGCTGGCATTCTGCACCCAGACCCTCTGGAAGGCAGCAGGAGAGCTCAGCCACAGGTGGGCACAGATAGACCCTTAAAGGTGGGGCAGCCCCAACAGAGAGCCTGCCAGGCACACAGGCACCCACAGGTGGTCCCCAGGGTGGCCCAGAGGCTGGGTCCTGCACAGAAGCTCCTCCCAGGAGCCGACTCTGATCCCGAGTCAGACTCAGGATCCACCAGCTAAGCACACAGACTCCACAGGGCATGTAACGAGAAGGGTGGGTGTGCATGGGCAGCTCAGATGGACAGATGGCCCCCAGCAGCCAGTCACTCTTGGCCCAGAGACTCAGCGCCCATCAGCAATGTGTCCTGAGCACGTCCTCTGAGCCCAGCTCTGGGCAGGGCGATGGGACCCCAATCTCATCCCTGGTGTGGGAGAGCCTGCAGCCACTGGGGCTCCCTCCCATGCACCACCTGGTCCCTTTGTGGCCCAGGGTTCACCACATACCCCACTAATGTTGCGAATCTCCCAGTGTGTGCTGGGGTCCAGGGTGGCCGCTTCCTGCCCATGCAGCCGGGCTAGGTCCTTCTCGAAGAAGGCACCCTGGAGAAAATGGGCCCTGGAGGGGGCACAGTTTGGGAGGTTCATGGAATCAGTTAGTGTAAGTTATGGAGACCTTTGGTACTGGGCCCACCCCAGTGGGTAAGCGCCTGCCAGGCTGAGGACTTGCCGGGGAGGGGCAGGGTCCTGCAGGAAGCCCCTCCTGCAGCCTGGCAATGGTGGTCCCACCTGACCAGGTTCGGCAGCATCCGTGGCTGCAGCCAGAAAGCTTGGTCCTCGGGGCTCAGCCGACGGACGGCAGCCTCAGAGGGCACCAGGGCTGTGACTTGGCGGTCGGCAGGAAGCGTGATGCCGGCACTCTGCACACACACAGGGAGCAGGGTGGGAGTGACGAAGGCAGCCACCATCTTCAGATCCCCTGCTCTAGGCTCCAGACCTGCCCCCAACCTCCTGCTCTTGGAGATGTTATATGGCACCCCTCCATCCAGGCAGGCCTCCTGGATTTGTGCCCCCAACCCCAGAATTTTGCCCTGTCCTACCTTGAACCACTGGTAGAAGACGGAGAAGTGGGCATTTGCCTCCAGCTCCTAAGGGAAGGGAAAAGGCTGAGGTCACAAGACCAAAGGCAAATTCAGGCCCCTTCCCCACCACGGGTCCTGAGCAGCGTCCCTTTCCCGCCTGAGGTGCTGGAGAGGGCTCCTCCCCAGCCAAGCACGGGGAAGACAGAAAATGAGCCTGAGCACCTCTTACCTGGAAGATGTCTCCGTAACAGCTGAGACCATCACCCCCAAAGCCAGGGGGGCATGTGCAGACCCGCTGACCTCCCCCCACTGCCTGGCAGGTGGCCTGCAGTGGGAGTGAGAAAGGGCCTCCATTCAGACCCAGATGGCAGCTGGGCCCTCCCTCCTGCATCTCTCTGCCTATCCAGCCACCCAGCCCCAGCCCCAGCCCCAGCCCCACCCCTTGTTCTACAGCCACTCGGTCTGTGTTGGTGGCACTCCTTCGGTGTGCCTAGCCCTGCCACCCAGGATCACTGGGTATCTGACATGAGCATTACCCATGCCAGGTGAGTGCTGGGGACCCCAGGGCTGTGGGAGCACTCTCAGAAGCCCAAGCTGAGAGCAGGAGCTAGCCAGGCCCAGGTGCGGCTCGCAGAGGCAGGGGTATGGTGGGGTGGAGCAAGGGCAGGGGACAGCGAGTAGTTCAGCACAGCCAAGGACCGTGGAACAGGGGCAGGAGTGGAACAGAGAGAGGAGGCTGGGCAGGAGTGGGACCTTAGTAAGGAGGGGTGAAGGGGAAGAGGAGTGACATGGTTGGATTTGAAGTTTAGAAAGCTCTTCATCCTGACAGGATACAGAGAGACACCCAGAGATGGGGAGGGAGGGAGAACTATAGCCCAGGCCCACCCAGAAAGCCTCCCCAGGGCTCTGAGCCTTGCACCCTTACCAGGCCGTGGCAGCCACCATTGCCTGCCCGGCAGGGGTCGATGGGACTGCACTGGTAGCCGTCCCCAGCAAAGCCCAGCTTGCAGGTGCATCGGCTCTGGAGAGGTCGGGAAGACAGCCTTGTCTCATGATGAGCATCCGACCCTTCCTTCCTCCATGACTTGGCTCTCACTGGGCACTGCCCCTGGGTAGGCCTGCCCAGACCCCAGAGGAACTTCTCCCAGCCCTACTCTCGGAGATCTGTGCTCTAGATGGGGAGACAGAGGCCCTAAGGGGAGACTGGCTCTCAGGATGAGTCCCCAGAGGTGAGCGCATTGGCAGAGAAGCGTCCATGGAGACTTGTTGCCCCTATACTTTGAGCTTGTGGCTCTGTCAGAGTCATTGAGGCCAGCAGCTAGCTGCTCTGGCAAGTGGGCAGGTACCTGCCAAGGCCGGCCCAGGGGAGCGGTTCAGACCCACTCCACCTCTGCCACCCAGTTCAGCTGCTCTGGTCCCTCCAACCAAATGCCAGTGCCCCTGGGCCTGCATACACTGCAGGTGAGTGACCAGAGAGACCCCTCAGATCTGAAGTGCCCTTGTTTGCACATTGGGGGCATCTCACTGGCGCATTCAACACCTCTGTTCTGAATTTTAAGGCCCTTATGGGGTTTGGAGCTTCAGCTCTTACACCTGTCAGTACTTACTGCTAAGGCTCCACATGCTGGTTCCTAGAGGCCACCTTGGAGTTGGGAGGACAGGGAGCCCCATAGGCCTGGCCATGCAGAGGCTGACCCTGACCAGCCAGGCCTGGGCCAAATGCGGAGGCTGACCCTGACCAGCCAGGCCTGGGCCATATGCGGAGG